TCCGTTCTTATGTCTAGGTCTTTAATCCACTTCGAGTTGATTTTTGTGACTGGAGTGAGGCAATGATCTAGTTTCATTTTTTTGCATGTAGCTACCCAGTTTTCCCGAAGCTGAGAACTTTTTAATGAAAACACTGCATGAGAGTAAAAAAATAAGTCATGGCATGGGAGAATGCATGATGAATATTATCCACCTTGCAGAATATAAGAAAAACCTCAGGAAGTAAAAAAAAAGAAACCGTCTATAATTTAGAAAAAGTGGGCTAAAGTCTTAATTGCATAACACTTTGAAAAAATGACATCCATGTGGCCAATAAGCACATGAAAAGGTGATAATGTGAATTTCTTATTGCTGTTGTAACAAGTCACCATCAACATAGTGACCTCGGATTGACTCTTTGGAACACAACCAACAGATTTGTGAACATATCAGGGCACATCAAGAGACAGATTCTAAAATCTAGAGTTGTTAATCCCAATTAACAACTATATAGATGCCCATCAACAGTAGAATGAATAATAAATTGTGGTCTATTCATGAGAAAGAAAGCCAAACAGCGAGAGTAAAGGAGCTGTTAAGTGGCTACATGGATCATGCTTCCGAAGATCAAGTGGAGCACAGCAGCAATAACCTGTGATATATGTACATGAGTACATGCCCTATAATTCCACCCCCATAAAGCTCAAAACATAGGCACAATGTATGGTGTGAGCCATCGGAATAGAGGTCCCTTTAAATGGTAATGAGTAGGAGGGGCCTACTCATTTAAAAAAAATTTTTTTTAAAGATTTATTTGTGTATACAAGAACTGGGCTACAGGCCAGAGGTGTGGGGGGAGATGAGAGGATTCACCAGTGGCTGTGGGGAACAAAACAGGCAGATTGAGTGAAATACACACTGAGGGGTGCAGTTGGCCGATCAGGAGAAGTCTGCTGTGCCATGTGGGTCACTCTCAGGCCAACTGATTGAACTCATGCCCACAGTGGCTGGGGATAGCTTCATAGCACTGTGCCACCAGAGAGGCCCCACCAATGGGAAATTTTATTGTATATTTGATTTTCTAGACATATTTGTTCTGCAAAACTTTTCAGACGCTTCATTTGAGATTGGTCCATTGTCCTACTTGTATACTTAGGAACCACAAAACACAAAATAAACAGTAAATAAATCTGTATGAGATTATTATTTTTTTTTTGAGAAATCTTTGAAACAGAAGTAAATCATTATCTGGTAAACTTTTTCCTCCTGCGCCCACTCTGAATGAAGTTTATTACTTGAAGGAAAAACTGGTTTCCTTTTCAGGTTCTTCACTCGCTGTGGCTGAAGTGAGTCCAATTTGAGGTTAGCAGAGTGGCTGGAAAGTTGAAAATATCCTTTTAGGAAATGAGCCCTGAATTGTTTGAATGTGTTTCACAGGTTACACAAACAGGCTTGGTGGGAATCTCAGCTTCAGCATTTCATCCACTGCCAATTTCACTTGACATAGAAACTCCAGTGACTCATCATTGCGGCCTGTGACAATGAGCACGGAGTGAGTGTGAAAGTTCAATCACAAAAGGGATCAGTTACTGGCCAGCCAGGCTCTCTCTGTTTTGTCTTTTCAGTATGCAGATATTCCAGTGGTTCAGAGGCTGCACCTGACGGAGGGTGCTCTCCAAGTGAGGGGCCACACCGCCCCTAAGATTTCTTTTTAGCTCGTCATGCTTATTTGATGAACTTGCTGGAACAAATCCTGTGGTGTAAGACAGAAAAGGAAGGTGCAATTCCTTTCCTCTGGAGTCCAGAATCTGGATTTATCAGCCCTTCATCATTAGTCTGTTAACTATGCATTCAGAGTTTTGCAAGGAGAGAGGGAAGCCATATTGCTGAATCCTCCCATTTGCACGAAAGAACACTTCCACCTCCTTCCTTAGTGAGATCATTAGGATAACTTCTCCCTTTCTCTCACCCAGCCCCTGGTGGTGATCACCTGCTTGATGAGGTTGGCAAAAGCACTGAGCCCTCAGCCTGGGTTCTCTTCCTGTCTTGGAGCTGATGACCCTGACACTGGAGTTGTGTCTCTTGCCCAGATGAACACCTCCTGGGGGGTGCTGTGTGCAGTGAGGTGGGTTTGTGGGTGCCTATGCCTAAGCTGAACTCATGACTGTACATGAGGCTGACTGTGGCAACAAATCCAAGTTTGCCCTCCCCTGCACGCCTTTCTCAGAATTTAATCATCCCTCCCTCCCCTCAAATGGCAAAGATTTCTTTAAAAAAAAAAAAAAATGTTTAGGGCCCTCCCTCGTGGCGCAGCGGGTTAAAGCACAGCACTACGAAGCTTAAGCCACTTCCTCATGAGTTCGATCCCCGCCTGCCCCGGAGGAGATCCACATGGCGCGGCAGACCTCTCCTGACCCGCCGGCTGCTCCCCTCAGCAGTGTATTTCGTCCATCTGCCCGTTCTGCTCCCCTCTCTGTCTCTGGTGAATCCTCTCACCCTCTGCATCTCTGGCCTGTACCCCAGTTCTGTATGAATAAATAAATCTTTAAAAAAACAAGTTTACTAGCATAATAGTGCTTACATGGTTTTAGGGCTACAGACGTATGTTATCACACACCCACCCAAGACACCCGCAGCCCCCTCATAGACTATTGGCTCCTCCCCACTTTGATCCCCAGACCCCTCCTGGTAGCCCAAGATCTAGTCAGAATTCTGGGGTTTGTTTTGGCCTGTTCCTCTGCTTTGTTTTTATATCCCACATATGTGTGAAATCATCTTTCTCCACCTATCAGTGATAAATCTTAGGTTTTGGTCTCTTTCCTCTCTGGCTCTGTGTGTTCATCTGGATTGAACCTTTCCCTCTTTCATTTCAGACGACCACATGTCTTAGTCCGTTCAGGCTGCTGTAACAGAACACCGCAGACCTGGGGGATGAAACAACAGAAATTGATTTCTCACAGTTCGGGAAGCTGGGAGGCCAAGATCAAGTTTCCAGCAATGCAGTATCTGGCGAGACCATCTTTTCCCATGATGAAAAGGGCAAGGTAACTTTCTGGGGCTTCATAAATAGAGAAAATAATCCTACTCATTTTATCGTATTGGGCATGAAGATTTAACATGTCGGTTTTTCCTGTACCATTTGTGTTATTGAGCTAACGCTGGTTTACAGCATTGTATGTGGTTGAAGGGAATAGCTTCACACTTCTTCAGCTGGGCTTATGGATTGTGGGGACATAAACATCCAGGTCTGCAGAGGTCCACTCCTCTCCCCAGAGCTCAGGGGGTGTGGACACTGGCCTGGCTAAAGCTGTTAAGGACAAAAGAAAACTTGATCCAGTTTTAAGGGAAAATATAGGAAGAGCAGTAAGACATATATGAGGTTATACCAAAAACCAAACAAACAAAAAAACCTGAATAATGTAAGACTTAAGCATTAGAAACAATAGCTGCTGGTTCAGGAATGTGTCAGTCTCATGTTCTTTTCTGGAATTAGGTTCATTGATAGTTCTGTTTCTCAAAAAGTCTCCAAGAAAAATGACATTTTTATTTTTCTGATTCTCCAGATAATATAAAGTAAAACATACTAGTAACACAGCGGAATGAAGAAAGTTGAAAATCATCTAAAACCTCTCCAACTGGTCACCCACTAAGTGTTTAAGGAAAAAGTTCTTCACAGAGGGATATGAGACAGTGTTTTGGGTCCTAGAAATACCATATGTTTTTATGTAGCAGGTGGTCACAGGTGTGTGCTGAGATTTGTGCTCCTTAACATATCTAACATACCAATTTATTATTTTTTTTAAGATTTATTTACTTGTGCATACAAGAACTGGGGTACAGGCTGGAGGTGTGGGGGGTGAGAAGATTCACCAGAGACAGAGTGGGGGGCAGAACAGGTAGATCTATTGAAATACACTGCTGAGGGGAGCAGTAGGGAGATAGGAGAGGTCTGCGGCACCATGTGGGTCACTCCCTGGCCGGGGATTGAACTCGGGCTGCAGTGGCTGCAGATGGCTTCATAGTGCTGCACTTTAACCTGTTGCGCCACCAGAGAAGGTGCTATGTACTGATTTAAAATCCTGCTAGTATTTTCTCTGGGCAACTCTGCAGAAACAGAATCAGACTATTTTAATGTTTTTCCTTATTTATATCTTCTAAGCTCTTTCTTAGCAATGCATTTATCTGTCTCAGGAGGTAACTCTTTGGCAGCCATGGTTTGCAAACTTAGAAAAGCTAATTTAAGAAAATAAAGGTTTGGGGCCTCCCTTGTGGTGCAAGTGGTTAAAACACAGCACTATGGGGCTCTGTACAGCCACCGCAGCATTAGTTCGATCCCCCCAAATCAAAATTTTTGGTTTAATTATATGTGCATATAGCAGACACAACTTTTGCTACTATCTTTAGGAATTTATACAGTGACTACATGTATGTGTGACATTGTGTTGGATGCTGAGGCTACAGTAATGGACTTGACATTTACGCTGCATCTCAGGGAACACAGATGCCCATGTCAAGTGGCACGCAGGAAGCCCCTTTTGAAACAAGTCCCAGATGACTGCTTCCTGCTTCTCCTACTGGCCCAGAATGAGAGTGACCCCAGAGTAATCTCATGCAGGGCAGTGAAGGAGGCGAAAATGAAGGCAATGTGCAGAGTTAGAGCGAGGAAGGAAAGCAGAGGTCCCACAGCCCAGGCAGGCTTGGAGGCTGGTATAGGGTGATGCAAGTGGGGAGAACCCAAGTTCAGAAGCCAGACATTTGAGATTTGGATGACAAAAAGAAATGAAGGTGGAGAAGAAGATAAATTCAAGTCATTAGTATAAAGAAGGAAAAAGAAGCCTAAAAAGGGTTGGCATCTGAGGTTCAATGTTAAGGATGAGCATGTTGGGCTGAGTGGTGGAGACACACAAGATGAAAATAATGTGTGTTCAGGAAGTTTCGAATAACTCTCGAGCCAGCCAGTGCCTGTGGGCATGTGTAGCTTCATCATTGCCACAGACCAAGTAAATGGAAC